GAACACAGGGTCAGGAGAGGAGGCCCTGCTGTGCTTGGTGGGAAGAGTGCCCTTTGAGCATTCACCACTCCTGGCTCTCCACACAGGTGGGCGACCCCAAGGAGGGTGCTCCTAAAAGCTGCAAGGTCTAGCAGGTTTGCAGACATGCTTAGGAACAGACTGACAGACTGAGGTGCTGGGGCATGCCTTCTAGATGATCATGTCTGTCCCTCCCTTTGAAAATACCTGCAGATTTTATTTCCTAAAGATAGGACACAGTGGGCACTATGGGAGGGTTTTTCAAGTATCTGTCTCCAAGGAAAATTCTAACACCGGAAGTACTGAGGAAAGGGTCCCATGAGATACTGAACATTTTATTTTATAAAGCTGCAATAATGAAGGTGCTTGGAAATTGGTGTGGACAGATGAACAGAAAAGAATAGAGAACTTTGGAATAAAGCCAAATAAATAAGGAATTTAGTTCATACTAGAGGTGTTTCAAATTAATGGGGGTAAAATGGATCATTCACTAAAAGGAGTTGGAACAACTGGTTAGCCATCTGGAAAATAGTAAAACCGGATACCTTTCTCTTTATACCAGCCTATACTCCAGATGAATTACAGATTTCAACATTTTAAAAAGTCATTAAAGTAGCATAAGATGAATTTTTTTTCCAGTCTGTGATTCCAGGATTTACTTTAAAAGTTTTAGATACCGAGAGTTTCCAAAGGCATGGAGAAACAGACCTTTTTATGCAGTTGGTTGGAGAATCAAATACTACGATTTGCCCACATTTCTAGGCACGCAGATGCTGACCACTTGCCTGCATACAGTTGGTCATTGCTCCTTCCTCAGTGTGGGCTTCAGAGCATGGACTTGAGCTTGGTTACACCTTACCTGTTACACTTGGGAGCTGACAATCCTTGGTGTCACCTGACCTCTGTGAGCTGTTATAATAGTTTATGTGCACAGGGGGTGGGAGGGTCGAATGAGGTAAAAGAGTGAGGTAAATAGAGCTGTTATCTGTTATATCAGTCTGGATGTGCCAGATTGTGCTGCAGTAACAGACTTGTAGCATCTCAGCCACCCATCTGTCACAGATCAACTGGGCCACCCTCTGCCCTTTTTAGTCCCTTAGGGACTCATGCCAACAGGAGCCCCACTGGATATGTTTTTCTACAACCACAGAAGGAGAGGAAAGACCCCAGCGAACCACAAGTGATATGTGTCTCTCCCCTTCTGTTACCGTTGTTGTGGCCAGAGAAGCCACACCTGAGTTTGGATGGATGCATCTAATTCTCCTGCGGGTGGGGTGGCACCCTCAGCCTTGAGAAGAGCAAGCATCCACTCAGCAGGACTCTTCAGAGTGCAGCCATCGAGGCAGTGGGTGGCGGGCTGCATTGATGCCCGGGAAAGATGCCCATGTGCCTTTGCTACAGCTGCATGGCTTAAAACAACAGAAATGGTTTTTTCCCCACAGTTCTGGAGGCTAGAGGTCCAATATCAAGGTATCTGCTAGGGTGGTTTCTCCTGAGGCCTCTCTCCCTGGCTTGTGATGGCTGACTTCTCTTTACATGGTTGTCCTTCCGTGCCTTTCTATGTCCTGATCTCTTCTTTTGAGGACACCGGTCATATTATTAGGATCCACCCACATGACCTAATTTAACCTTAATTACCTCTTTAAAGGCCTTATCTCCAAGTAGTCACATTCTGGGGTGCTGGGGGTTAGAACTCTGAATTTTGTGGGGGACACAATTTAGACCATAAAACTACCCCAGATGGATTTCTTTGTTTTAATTTTTGGAATTTTGGGCAGTGCTGTCATGAGAACCCTTCTGGGTGTTACTGAATGCCCATGTGCAGAGCCCCGCTAGGCCCCTGTAGCAGGAAGTAAGTGTCTAGTTGTTCCATATGCAGGACTCTTACCTTTTTTTTAAATTGTTGACAGTATTAAAGATGTCTCCCATTTTCTCCCTTTTTGCCTCCCTCCACCTACCCCTCACCTCACCCTAGGCCTTCCCCATGCTATTATCTGTGCCTATGGGTTATGCATATATGCATACATGTTCTTTGGTTAATCTCTTCCTGTCCCCTCCCTCCCCACCCCCACTGAGATATGTTATTCTTTCTCATGCATCTATTTTGTTCATTAGGCTCCACATATAAGTGAGATCACGTGATACTTGTCTTTCTCTGCCTGGCTTATTTCACTCAGCATATTCTCCAGGTCCACCTATGCTGTCTCAAAGGGTAAGAGCTCCTTTTTTATAGCTATGTAGTATTCCATTGTGTGAATGTCCCACAGCTGTTTTATCCACTCATCTACTGATTATTTTTTTAATCCTCACCCAGGGATATGTCTATTGATTTGAGAGAGAGAGAAACATCCATGTGAGAGAGAAACATTGATGGGTTGCTTCCTGTACGTGCTCCATCCAGGGATCAAAGCTGCATCCTTTTTTTGGTGCACAGGGTGACGCTCCAACCAGCTGAGCCATCTGGCCAGGGCAGGACTCTTACTTCTTAGTTAAGAAATATTTTCCTACATGAGGGTCGGAAACATTACACTATATTCCCAAGTCTTAATGCTTTGCCTTTTACATTGACTGGAATCTGTAATGCCGTGGTGTGCAGAAGGGCCTGCTGTCGGCATCGGAGAGCCTGAGAAGAGTGGTTTCTCCACCCACCTGTGCTGACCGTGTAATAGGAGTGGGAAATAAACATTGAATGTGTGAAGCTGCTGAGTTTGGGGGCTTGTGTTTTCCGCAGCATGACCTATTCTATCCTGATAGAGGACCCCATTTCACCTTTCCCACGGGGCAGGTGACTGTCAGCCTCCAGTGCTGGATGCCATGCTGGCTAAACCTGTCCATGGGGCCATCTCTCATACATGTGTGGCTCCAGCCCACGTTAATGATCTAGTTTCTTCATTATCTGGTAGAGAAACATCCTCCCTTATTCTTCAAGTTGTCTTGGCTGTTTTTTAAAACACGTTTTATTACAACACAGAAGTGGAGAGGATGGTACAGTGGACTGCATTGTGCCCGTCTCCTAGCTTCAGCTGTGGTCAGTCCTCACCCTGGGAGCTCTTTGTTGGTGGACTGCTGGGCTGAGCATGCTCTCTGGGACACCAGGAGTCCTGAGCTCACTTTATTTCTCTTTGGGCAGTGATGTCCTCACCTGCAAGTGGATGACATGATCTTTGTTACAGAGGCATTGAGGGTGGGCCTGGGAGGAGCCTCTGGCCTTCAGGGTGCC